CAAAGTTTTTCTCGTAGGCTTTACGCATTTCATTCCCCCCTACGTGCATAATAAAACATCTGGAGAGTCTCGATTCTTAATTTCACTTTGACAGTAAATAAAATACAGTACAAAGTCTGTAATCCGGACTCGTCAATGATTCCGGGTTAGAGGTTTTTTCCGGTGATAAGACGGCATGCAGAAATTATACAATTAAAAATATGAAACCCTAATTTATGAAATAAAGAGCATGATCTAAAGGGTATCAAAATTTACAAAGGAAAAAGAAAAGCTTACTATTTATTTTACTTTATTAAACATTTCTTTCAATGTAAGTTGTTTAAGTTGTTTCGCTTTTTGGGCTAATACTTTCTCTTTAATTCGATAAACAGACATGAGTTCGGTTCAGTTACAAAGTTCAAACCGTTCAAGTCCTGTAATTACTGTTGTGAATACCGACTAACTTGTCAATCGAAATTTGTTGTTTCAATACCTCTCTCTCACTTCCTTCACTATCGGATCGGAAGGAGTATTTTCTGGACCTAGAGAACCATACTACAGATTCGATCGGTAATTGATGATGATGGGGGCATTGTCCGGCAATGAAAACTTATGTTATATCATCTTCATTTATTACCGCTTCTCCACATTTCTTTATAAAATCCAATAACTGGAAAATTTCACCTTTAGTTTGCGATGTCCAAAAACCTTCAAATTCACAACTATCATCTTCATCTTCATCATCCTCACCATGAAATATGGTAGCTGACCATAAATTCTCCAAGCATTTTTTAACGTAGCTGGAGACACATCCTCCCAACGCGCATGCGTAAAACAAAACAAAACAAAACAAAACAAAAAAACAAACAAAAAAAAAAAAAAACTGAAATATTTCAGATTTTAAATTACGTCCAAAGGGGCATTTTTTAACATTTTGTGTGTTACCTTTCTTTATTAAATATCATGTTCCTCGCACTTAAACCATAAGATCCAGTGCAACAGCAATATCGCAAAATAGTTTTAAAACGAGCATATCTTTAGAATTTCCAATACAGAAGACTCACGCGCTGGAGATAAAATGTTTTTTCTGCACAACGTTGCCATTGCTCGCTTTGAAATCCTTAGTTTGTTAATCAAAAATTCGTCAAAGTTTTAAAAAATAGGAATCGATCATAAAACAAATTCAATTGGTCTTCCACATGCTCATATTCGTTGGAGGATTACGTTATTCAAAATTCGATGACTCTATGTACTGTTATTTATGACAATGTGAGAAATATACATACTTTATGCAGATTTCATTATTTAATTTCTCAAATATAATGCAGGACTCTAACATTTTATGGCAACAGTTTGAAAAGTGAACCGACATTTATCCGTCCGATGCAAAATGCCAAAACGAAACTAATAGTCCTTCGGGATTCAAATCCCTTTGGACTAAAAAAAAAAAAAAGTTTGTGGATTTGAGGTCCGGATTTTAGATCATTCCGGATAATGGACGTTTAGATTACGGACTGAACGTCGTATGATACCTTGTTACTGAAGAAACAATCACTTAAGGATAAATTTGTACCATCAGTAGTTTGGCTCCATTGCTGCATATGTGCTTGGCACACATCTCAAACCAAAACATTCTACACAGATACATCGTTGATCTGATGCCAACCTGGCAAATCATTATTTATTATACTTTCCTTCCATCACCGCTTGTGTATCAAACATGACAACTTGAGTAATGACTCATGTAGTGAAGCCTAAACAATTTTGTAATGTTAGTAACTGAATAATAAAGGAGTATGGTAACCTTTTATGCTGGCATTACACTTGGCGATGATTACAAGTTTCAGTTAAATGCAGTAAAAAATGTTGACGAGGAAAAATTCGCTAAAAATAGATTTTGTTGAGGATACTCATTAGACCCAAAGATTACATTTAGGGATATTTGAATTAGAATAACTGATTTGTTATTCACGTAAGACCAGAACCAGCGCCAGGGCTTGTATGGCCGCACTGAGTCGCAGAATTTAGGACCCACAGAGACTGCATCGGACAGTAAGATCGCTAGTGTTTGCCTTCAATAATTCTTAAGTATATGTGGGAATTTATTTATTCAGAACTCTGATAAGCCTTAAGCATGTGCAAGAAATAGACATAAGTATAATAAACAACTAAACTAATACAATTCAGGCTTAACTGTCTCAGTGCAACAAAAGAAGCAAGATAAAATTTAACGGAAGAACTTGGCATTAGTTGCCAAGCTCATGATGCATAGCCAAATATGTATAGTGAATATAGCTAAATTTGATGATGATAGCCGCTAATTTTAAAGGTTTTCGGATATCACAAAACGGAGGTGAAATTTTCCAATTAACTGATTTTGTAAAGAAATGTGGAGAAGAGGTAATAAATGAAGATAATATAAGAGAAGTTTTTCATTGTGATGACAATGCTTCTCAATCATCAATCAATTAATGGCAAAATCTGTCGTATGATTCTAGATCCAGAAAATACATCTACCGATAGTGAAGAAAGTTACTGAAAACAGAAAATTTCGATTGACAAGTTAGTTGGAATTGTCCAAACAGCAGTTACAGGACTTCAACAATGTAACTAAACAAGAAATTATGTCTGTCTACAGAATTAAAGAGAAAGTATTAGCATAAAAAACAAAACAACTTAAACAACTTACATTGCAAGAAATATTTAATAAGGTAAACAAATAAATATTAAACTTTTATTTGTAAATTTTGATACCCTTTAGATCATACCCTTTAGATCATCAAAGGATATCCCTTTAGATACCCTTAGATCACCCTTTAGATACTTCATTATTTAATAAATCACGATTTCATATTTTTAATTTTATTACATGCCATCTTACTAGATTTAAACTGATGATCTAATATCCGGAAAAATCCCTAATCTAGAATCGCCTAAGTCCCGACGAGTCCGGATTTCGGACTTTGTACTGTACAAATATATTGTGACTGCATTTCATGAAATCTTGTCCAAAGGACCAATTGGGGACCAACAACAACCTCTCATTATCTAATTTTTTAAATACAAACCAAAAAGCATTTAGTCAAAAATAATTATAAGAGATAATATTAATTTTATCTAATAAATTTCATTATCTAATTATTTTTAGATAAAACCAAGAAGCATAAAAACATGATTTATCTTTTGGAAACAGCAGCAAAAATTCTTTAAGAATACTCAAAATGAATACTATACACATATCCTTTTCTTAATATTATGCAGGTTTATATATCTAGAGAAAGTTTTAAGTCACTGCAGCAGCCCATACAATATTTAATGCTATTTCTTAGTGCTTAACATTTTTAGAATTACAGTTGTAAGACTGAGCTGAAAGTTTTGGCAATTTTGTTTAATTGAATTTAAATTACTTTCGTGTTGTTATTCAATGTCTGACTTACTAGTGGCTGAGTGGTAAATCCTGGTGAATGAGCTAGCTGCATAGAAGTTTTCATGATAACTCTCTACATGAGTTTTTCTTTCTATGTAACATAAAAATGTGTCGATTTCCCTTAAAAAATGATTTCTGAAGGCATCACTACCCTTAGGCAGGCAGCCTTTGAGTGCTTTGCCTGAACTGAAAATATCCAATCCTTCAGTAATTATGATTTAGAACACTTTGAAAAGTTAAAAAAAAAATATGCAATAAAATATTAGTGATGAATTCTAAATGGAGACATAATACAGGGGGGTGACATAGCACTTTCTCTGAGGAATGATAGATGGTTATACCACAACCTCTTTATACACTGTTAGCTGCATAATTACTGATAAATATCACCTGTGCTACAAATTATTTAAAAATTCCTAAATAAAGAAATGCAATAAATTATCACAGGCATTTAATTATAAATATTCTTGATTTAAAAAACTTCAGATAAATAATATATAAATAGCAAAACATCCAATGTGATAATCAATAATGTGAGAATGAATTTAAAAAATAGGATAGGTCATAAACTTATACTGGTGTATTATATTATTGAAATATAGACCTCTACATAAATGCAAACAGTAGCATAATAAAACAAAATGAATGCAGAAGTATGTTTTCGATACAGTTTCTTTAGCCTATGGTATGCTGATTTTACCTAGCTGTAATATTAGCATACCTTCTCCAAGCTAATGTTACAGATTTTTTGAATCTCTTCAATGTAAAAAAGATATTTTATTTCAATAAGATATTTGGAAGAGAAAAATATTGTTTTAAGGAAACAAATTGAGAATAGGGGTAAGTCTAAGAATATGTATACAATTTAAGGCCAGAAATTTTTACGAACATCCCGAATTCTATGAAAGTATATTGTCTTGTTATGAATTTTGTATACAGATGGATGATTTTAGTGCAGTTCTACGTGAAATTGTTGTATTTTTTGTATAATGTAACATGAAAATCTAGAGCAGCAAAGCTTGCCAGATAAGTAAGAATACAGTGGCATGTCTATTTAAAAATTGAGTAAATGGCTATCTCGCTACATTAGCGAGATATCGCAAAGCTGGTAACCAATTTTTGTAACCAAATTTGGTGATAAATCATCCAAAGTCACACCAAACTTGGTGACACTTTGGCCCGGTTCCTGTATCACTGTAATAGGTATTGTAATTTATTAAATGTAACTGATCATTATATTAGTTGTAACCATAATTCGGCCCTTATAAGCCTTCCAGTAATTTTGAGAAGTACTGCAAATATCTCAGCGGCTGGGATAGTTCTAGTATTTTTTACTTCTCAGCAAACTATATAAGACCAGAGATAAGAGTATTTGTTCTCAGCTGTTGTTGTAGTGAGTTGTTAGTTCAGAGCAACTTGTATTGCAAGCTTCACCTTTTAGATGAGCTTTGCATCTAAAAGGTGTTTTTAATGTTAACGGTGTGTTTAACGTTCTTAGTCGTTTGAAGTGTAACAACTGATTGCACTCTGTGATATTGTGAACACATGCACGACTATTTCTGTGGAAAAAGTCAGAACTCTGAAGCGCTTCTTTTGATAAAACACATTTTATTAACCTATCATCGGACATGTGCATTCAATGCACACAACAATATTGTACACCGCACTTGGAACAATAGTTTCTACTGAGTGATGAGGAATGCTGCATTAAAAATAGTATGTCTAGCCATGTGATGAATAATTTCTACAAAAAGCAATGCTGCTAAGTTTACATGGATTTTTTTAAAAAATGCATTCTCATTGCTTAATTACCACATTATGTAAACTAATTGCTGATATACTTGCTCATGCATGCAAATCTTTGGTCATATTTTAAGGGCTGTACCCAAAACATGCAATGGATTCACCAGATCTTTTTATTAATCAATACAAGTGTCACTTTTTTCCATATGATATTTTCACTTTTGTTTCAAATTCTGCAGCTTTTTTCAACATCTTCCATAATCTCGTAATTAGTGTTCTCACACACTATCTCAATGACCAGTTGCAATATATTCTAAAAATGAATCTTCATAATTTTCCACACCAATGTCCAAAACATTGGCTATAGTTTGCAGTTCCTCTGAGCCTTTTTCTAAAACAACAGCCATATTTCTAAAGCAATTACACCATGTTTTGAGAGACTGCTTTCCATGCACTGACGGTAATATGCATAGATTTAGTTATCTCCTTCAAAGTGCTTGCTTGCATTTTCAGAAGATTCAGTTCTGTTTATCTTTTCTGGAGCAACACCTTTTTTGCAATGGCATTTGAAAATTTTTATAATGTCCTCATCTAAAGGCTGAATTAATAGAGGATATATTTGCAGGAAGAAACACTAATTTAATGTTTTTCAGAACGATATCAGAGGAGTGTGCAGAACAATTATCTAACAGTAAAGCTATTTTTTTTTATTTTTCAGTTTCCTGTGATGGCACCACTAAAACAATCTGAAAATAAATAAGAATGAATGAAAATGATTCTGTTAATTAATTTAATAACCTATTCAATTTTAAATATCTTCCAATTTAAAAAAAAAAAAAAAAAAAAAAAAGAAAAGAAAAGCAGGAGTGGCCCTTAGAAAGGCTTTTTTTATTAGTAGTGCAGCACATATATCAGGGTTGCCACTCAAACAGGAGAATGAAATTCCCTGACTTTTGCAGGTTCTCCAGGTATGTTTCGAGAAAATTCCACTCTATCCGCGTAATGTACGTTGGCTGTGCTAAGAGGTAAATTAATTATGGTGTTACTTGTACTGTGTAGCAAATTCACTTAATTATTCAATAAATCCCAGAGGACATTTATTCTTAATTATTCTTGGTACACTTTGTTTGATAATTTTGTTTACTTTTCCGCTTAAAAAACTTAATAAAATTTAAGATATATACGTTGGATAACAACTGTGTGTTTTATTTAATTATTACTCATGATCATCCCCAGTTCAACATGAGGCTAATCCGGTTCTTATAAATCACAATGCGATGCTAAAAGTTAGGTTAGATTTTAGGTAAATCTAATTTGTGTGAGGTGTATTCTTAAAAGGCACCTTAACACTTAAAAACACAAATATAATTATAATAGGAGTTTTTTTCTCCACTGAAGATTGAGATTAGAATCTGCCCAATCTGGAATAAAATAAGGCTTTTTTGCAGACATTCTGCAGTTAAACGAAAGAAAGAAATCGACTAATGATATTTTTTTACTAAATTGAGGTATCCGCAGCATACAAACGGAAAAAATATGTGCATTAAATTTCGTGATGTCATCATACTGCTAGAATTAATTTCAGGATTATGCCAGAGAAAATTTCCTGAAATTTGGAAATATTATTTACTAATGATAAATAAATTTAGAGGGAAGAAGCAACATTAAATGATATGAATAACATAAAAATAAAGATAATTACTTAAAAATTTAATTAGAATAATCAACGATATTTTAGTGAATATAGTTATATTACATGGTTATCCTAGATGATTGTTTACTATTTTTTTATTTTACTGCAAAATGACAAGGTATTTATTTAAAAAAAAAAAAAAAGATTTTGCGGTAAAATCCTAGTTTACGATACGGCCACGGAGTATAAAACGGCCTTCGCATGATTTTGAAAATTGTCTCCAAGAGCAAAATGACCCGTTTCCTGCTCATCATCATGTCACCAAATCCCACTGTACCATACATGGAGATTATACTGACCAAAGAACGTCTATGTAAAAAGCGGAGGGAAAATTTTCCAAGGGATTAGAAGACGGAACGGCCAGAATTTCCCTCTCCGCGATGTGTACAGGAAATTGAGAAACACGTGTTAAGACAAAACGTTCTTTGACAAAAAAGAAAACTACGAAAATCCGTTTTTAAATTATTGCGAAAAATCCAAGAAGAAATGTTTTATCAAAGAACGTTTTTTTCTTGGATTTTTCGCAATAAATTTAAAAACGGATTTTCGTAGATTTCCCCCCCCTCAAAATAACTAATCCATGAATTAATTTACTTGCGCCAAAAATATTTTCTTTTCCTTTACAGTTTAAAGACATTTTAAACGATATTCATTTTATGAACTCTTGATAACGTGACCTTCGAACTTCGACACCGGTTTCGAGCTTTGGCGACATATATATCGCGCATGCACAGCTATTTCCCGCTATGATGGAACCGAGCCACGTCTATTGCAGAGAGGTTTTCCTTCTTTACAATACATATTTTTTTAATTCTAACCTTCATGGTACCGTATACTAGGATTAAACCCATTTTGTTTTATATGAGAACAGGTACTTTCTTTAGTTCATGCACTGCACATGCGATTCTCGAGGTTACTGGAAACCAAAAGTTGCGGGGAACTTGCTTTGCCTTTCTATCAATCAAATAAAGACAATCAAATTGGAGCTGCGAAAATTGGCTCTATGCCAGCTGCCCGAATGACACTCATGTGATACACAATTCGCCAAAAAAGTGATCTCTTCTGACGTCAGTGCAAAACTCGCCTTTTTTGGCGGAATCGTTGTATGAAATTCCCTGACTTTTCCAGATTTTGACTAAAATACTTAAATTCCTCGACTCTTCCCTGAATTTTTTGGTCAATTTCCGAATTCCCTGACTTTTTCCGGTTTTCCAGGTAGCGTGGCAACCCTGATATATATTATAGATGTCATGCAGCATGGCCAAAAAATGGTCATAATTTTTAATCACAGATCTCCACCACATTTCTGTGAGATAACATAAAAGCATTTGCGGTATAGTACTCTGTATGTTGTGTAGAATCTTAAGCTTCAAAATCTTCCAGCACAATTAAGTTGTTTAAGTATCAATATCCTCTGCAGGACTTTCAAAGTTCCTCAGTAGTTTACAATTCAATGACTGTATCCTAATCAGCCTGCCTCTTATAAGAAGATCATCATAATAATAAGTAAAACTAAAAGCAATAGGTTGCACATATTACATCATTAGTGAAAATCAGTAAAAATATTGCTTGCCATCCACGAGTTCTTGTTATGGTATGTTAAATTCTTGACACCTTTCAGAAGATTGAAGTTTTGTCCCTTTTCTAATAACCAACGGTGTCTTCTTAATTGTTGCTCCCATATTGCATGATACTAACACAGTAATTTGTTCCTTTCTTAGTTTCTGTTTCCTTTTTAAACATTAATCTATGTTTTGGTAATACTCAGTAAAGCAGACCAATTTCATCTGCATTATAAATTTTACATGGCTTGCATTCTTTTAGAAGCACAAGTAAAACTTCTTTTATCCAGTTCTCAGCCAAATGATGACCTGCCCTTTTATAATTTCAATAATGTTAAACAATAAGTAATGTTGAATTTACATAACTAGAGGTTTTTTCAACCATTTTTGTGAATTGTGTTTGGAGATGGCTTAAAATCCAAATGTTCATCAGAAATCACAACAGTTTTCTAATTACTGAAATATTTAATGCATATTAAATTTATAGGCACAAGCATTAACAGGAAAACAAAAACTGTGCACACAAGTCGACTATGCTATAGTTTGAAATCAAAACTAAGAACTATGAGTGAGTGATAGTCACAGTTATGATTCAAGGAAGAAAGCTTTCATGATATCCTCCCTCTTTTGAAATTCAGAGATTTATAACTGAAGCTAAAAAATATTCAAACTCACAGGTTCATTCGTTGCATCTTTTTCAAGGATCACCTGAATTGTGATTTTTGAATAACATCATTTTCAAGATATTCAGGACTACCTGGAGCATTCATGAAAGTAGTTGAACTACTATAACCATGGGTCATTATATCCGGATCATTCTCCTTTAACAGTATATCATTGTCTTTGACTTCTAACTGATATATTTCTGGACAGGTTACAAATAAATCCCATTTTTGGTCTTGATATCCGCCACATATACTTTTCCATCTCTTTACCTGGATGCAGTTTAACCACATTGGCTAAACATCAGTTTTTTTTTTATACCTTATCATCTCCAAGAACAATGACATCCCCTTCCTCTAAACTGTATTATTTTTTTGTTATTTCTCTCACTGTCCTAAATCCTTTTTTGTGCTATTCACTAATTCTTTAACCATAATGCTTAGTCTTGCTTGAATCAATTAGGTCTCCATCCATAACTCCGGCTTCATTTATTTATTGTAAGAACATTAGAAAAGTTAAAGGCACAAGATCATTGCCATCTTCAGACACGTAGGCCAAGAATCTATTATTCTTGACATATTCAGTATCACAGAGTACTCTGTGTAGGTCTTCATAATCTAGATGAGCATTCCCTAAAACACGTGTATTATTGGCTCCCAAAAGCCACCATACCAGGGCACTGATAATGGATTGAATTTCCAGGTAATTCTCTTACACAACGTAAATTCCTACAATCTGAACCAGAGAACTGATTTTAATTCATTAGTTGTTCCCACCCAATTTGTTCCATTGTTGTAATAGATAACACTCGGGTGACCTCCTCATGCAAAACATCTTCTCAACACTAGAATGAAACTATCAGTAGACAATGATGTTGCTAGTTCAATACGAACATCTCGATCCATGAGACATATGCATTTTTTATTAGTTTCTCATCACTTACAGCTTGTTTTTTTAAGTAAATTGCACAATGCTGTTCAAGAAATTTCCATTTTAAATGTAGACTTTCTTTGGCTATACTTACCTAATCTTTCAACAAGCTAGCCTTTTCTCTCAGGTTTAAATTGTTTCACTTGGGCATTTTTGACATATAACAAGTTACACATACAGCAAATTAAAATACATTTCCAGAGGTGACTCATTCAATGCATGTTCAAATTCATGTTTCTAGCCAGCAGAAAAACTGTACTTTCTCTGTCAAGTTGATTTCCCACTTCATGGTTACAAGCATAACCAAAGCTTTTTTTTCTTTTTTTCTTCAGCCTGAGATGGCCATCTTTTTTTTGAAAGACTGAGAACATACAGCTGTATGGAATCATTTCATGAAATTTTCAAATAACAAAAGCAAACTTAATACATGTATATACTTCCACCTCCTATCAGCTGTTCGAAAAAGAAAAATATGGCTCAATTCAGAACTTTTTTCTTCTTTTTGTTTAATCCTGAGAAACACTCATTTACCATGAAAAATATCTCTAGAAGACTGCTTTTACTGAACAAAAAGCTTTGCAAACAATGTCTGATAGGGAGTAGGGAAGGTTACCTAACAGCCCCAGGAGGTCCTTGGTTTTAATTATACTGGTTGAAATTTATGCTAGACTTGTTTTATTGAAACATTACATAACTGACAGATAAATAAATGAAATAGAAACAGTTTTCACCAGCTATAAAAAGCTTATTTTGACCCTGAGGAATCAGTCTTTTACCAGTTTTAATTTTATACGCATCAAAGATGATTTAACAAATGACAGTTTTTCTACCAATTAGTATATATTTGTTTTGGTTACTGGAAATTTAAATGTATTATTCAGTTGATTTCATTGTGAGTTTAATAAGCAGCAGTATTGTATATTGAGGAATACTTTTAAACTGAGGAAGAGCTATTTTAACAATAAACAGTCTGGACTAGAGATGGGCAAAAACCACACTTTCATGAGAACAGATAAGAACTACTAGTTCACTGAACTGAATCAGGTGTTTTACATGACTATCACTCACTCACAATAACTTTGATGAAAAACATAAGGAATGAGAAATGAATGAACAGTAGTAAGTGAGGATAGAGTGAAGAGTGGAAAGAATTGAATGAATAATGGGACTAGGAGCACCACAGAGCAAAAGATATCAAATGAGCCAGGGGATTGGAAGAATCGACTCAAATAAATGTTTAACTCTCTGAACTGATTTCTTTCAACTGGAGATTTGAGGTTCCCTAAAATCTCCTTTCTACACAGAACTAACAATAAAATTCTAGAATTAGAAAAGTTTAAAATAGTTGGGAAATTATAAAAATTAACATGAATAAACATTCTTTTCTTCCCTAAATAAAAAATTGAGTTTTCCTGTCATGCTGCCAAAAGGAGTTTTTGATGGATAAACTCTAAACACTCTTTTTTTCACAAATCAAGCATTTGCTGACTCAGAATAGTAAATCAGATTGTGAAAGTAATACAACATCTCTATCGCTGCCATGCTTTCAACAAGAAAGCACCATGAGTTGTAAAACAGTTTCAAGAAACAAGCTACCACTCTATTTTCTGAAATCAAATTTCATTTGTTCATTAAAGTAAATTGGTTCTTTGAATCAGTTACGAAGCATATTGCCCAACTCTAATCTGGAAGATTTATGTGAATTAATAAAGCTTACCTTCTGTACAGACCTTGCATATGTAAATATTAACATATATCAAAATCAAATTTGTTAAGACAGGCATATGTTAATTCAACAATGACTTTGTTCATAAATTGACAATTTTTTCTCTAAATAAGATATTATATAATTATTATATTGCTCCATATGGAAGAAACCATGCCAGTAACAAGTTAAAATTATGCAAAAATCAACCTTCACTTGACAATTAGTAAACCAGACAAGCTTAGAAACCCCTCTTCCTTATGGGGCAAAAATACTGTATGAAAATAATCTTCAGAATATTTTTGCTCATTGAAGCTCTTTCCAATAACTGTCTCATTTGAGGCTGATATATTTTTAAATACTTTTTTTAAAATAAAACCAACATAAATTTTGAGTTGATTGAAATTTTGAGTTGAAATGCGCATTCGTAAATGTATTTTGCGCACGCGCACACAGATATTCACAGCCGTAAAGGTCTTACACGCATGAGTCAATGCGACGCATGCGCAGAACGTTTGTAGCTTTGAGGTCCGGATTATAGATCATTCCGGATTATTGGTGTCCGAATTAACAACTTTTGACTGTAGATAGATGTTTGTGCAAATGGCTGACACACTTGTCTTTTTTATGGAGAACACTGCTGCTCTGGCGAAATAGACCATCAGCTGTTAGTTTAGTTTGTAAATTAATCTTGATTTAGATTTTAAGTTATCCAATCTAGAATGTTGCGGCTTTGAGTCACAACACTCTAGACTAGCTGTAATGTGTTTCCAGCTAATTGCTGCAAAGTCAAGATGACATACTTTTGTTTTTGTAATATTTTAATTTATTGCTCACAAACCATGAGATTTAAATAAGTTTGCCTGTGTGTTGTGCTTTTACAGTTGGTTTAAGTTACAAGTAATAACTCATATCATAGTTTTAAGGTAATACTGAGAGCTCAGAAGTTGATTTAAAGTATTTAGCCAGTTAGAATCACCCTTCAAGTGATAGAAGATGAATAAAAACATTGACTTCTCTGTATCAATAAAACTAAAAAACCAGGACTTTCAACAACCATCCCTTATAAAAATCACATAACATGAGAAACTCTTCTCCAACCTTCCCTCAATTTCTGGTACTCAGTGAGAATAAATATGATTCCACCATTGATGGAGAGAAGATATTTATTTCCAAGTGCAGTATGTTAAACTGCAATGAAGGCTCAAGTAAAGAAGCACATGACCCTAGACATACTACTCACATAGAGGCTTCGGAAGATGCTTTATAAAGAAAAAATAGGATTATGAGCGCAGAACGAATGATTTGTAGGCTTTCTAAATGTGGGTCCCTAAGCCCAAGTCTTGAGGGTAATCAGGCTCTCCCTGTAACATATAAATGCTGATATCTAGATTGAACAAGGATAATGACCATACTGCATATACAAATGCAACTATAATTTTTATTATTTTTTATAAATAAACATAATTAGAAGAAAACAGTTGCATAACTTTGGTGAAAATGTAATTTCTTCTCATGCATATCAATTAATAAAAAATAAATGTAGAAAAATATTCCACAATAAATGTGGTAGATAAATGTAGAAAAGTGTTTCACAATGAGAGAAGAAAACTGGTTTAAAGAAAATCAAATCGCATCTATAACAATTGTGCAACTTCTGCGCTGATAGTTAAGAAATAAATGCAAATCAAATTTTACTACGAAAACTGGATTCATCAGCTAAAATTAACATATTGAAACAATTATCTTTAAGAAGTATGCACTACTGGCATGAAGGGGAAAAAACATGGTAGATAAGAGCACCACTGAAATTAACAAGAGTTTACAAGAACAGAAAAAGTTAATTATACTGCCGATAGGGGGTGCCACAGGTTTCATTTAATATATAAGCAGAAATGATATTCAGAAGTGCAGATCCATACAGCCATTTAAAATAAATAATAAACAAATAAAGAAAATGCAAAATATAAACTCACAAAATCATATATTTAAGGAAAAGCCTATCTGTACATCAAAGTATGATGGTGCAACAACTGGTACTTAGCCACAAATGATTATAAAAGTGTGAAAACATAGCTGTGTCTTTTATTTTATTTATCAACATCTACATTTTTAATGATATCTGCCAATTATCAACAAGTCTATGTTTAATAATTTATATCCATTTTATAAATACTTTGTTTCTTCAAAATTTGAAAAATTTCAGACTGTCATTAAATGATGTTTACTTTTTCTGGATTTGCTTACTTATTATTTTAAAAAACTACTGTTCTTTACCCTGATAAAAACAAAGGTATGTTCTGAATATCCATATCACACCAAAAAGTAGCAAGCTCATTAGCAACTTCGGACAGCATTTTCAATCTCAAAGGCAACTAATTTTTTGCCAAGCTAATGTGTGAAAGACAAAAGTGCTTTTTAAAAATAGAGATACACCAAGAATTCCATACAAGAGTAATCAATTAATAAAATTAGGAAAGTAATAAATATTGGTAATAAAACAATCACCTTTCTTGAAAAAATCTTTTTTATGCTCTTGTTCCCATAAATATGTAATGATCTATTTTCCCTTACAAAAACATCAGAGAACTGCATGAATTTGACTTCTGTTAAGTTCGGCATTGCACACTAGCCAAAACAGAAATGCATTATGTGCAAAAACCTGGACTGTTACATAAATACTTTTTGGCGACATACTGCTTTGCCTCATAAATACTTTTTTGCAAAATTTCAGGAAGTGTGTGGATAATCAGAAAGAGCTAAAGTTTTTAAAAATTTATAATAAAACTGCAATTAATTTAAAAAACATAGTACTTGAACATCAAATCTATCTTTTTATATATGTGTGCAAATATGGTAATAATTTTAGCTATAACCATCATGGATAACCACTGTTAAAAAATCCAAACTTCGCAATTAATAAATAAATGTCTATAATACATTTTAAAATAGCTGCACTGTTGTCATTTTCGTAAAGGAGCCAGCTGTCATACCTTTGGGCCCAGGTTTGAATTCTGGAGAAAACATGGATGCTTGTAAGTGTGCAGTATCTTTATTACACACAGCAAGCACCAAGCTGAAAGAACTCTTGGAAGGTTGTTGGTAGGGAAAAAGGAACTGTGGATCCATTAAAACTGAGATAGTTTTTCACTTCTTATGAGTGTATTTCAGCCATTTCTATGATGCACTTTCCGCAGTGTTAACAATGATAGAATGGCTAAATGACAAATTAGTAGCATTATTCTACTACTTGCATTTATAGGGGAAAGCATATATTATCAGCGAAGATTTACCCCTCAGTTGGAATTTCACAGTTTCGGGGGGGGGATGTTCTCAGACTTTTATTTACCTGTTAAGTATTTAGCTTTAATTTATGAATATAAAAAACCACTATTATTCAGGTCCTGGTATTTATCAATATTTTCTATCCCTTTTCTTGCCTAATTTATAAAACATATTAAAAATAATCTAAATTAAAATAAATGTCTATTTTTAGAATTTTGGAAAGGAGTGGGGAAGGGGATGAAGATCATATTGATAACTCCTGATATAATTAATAAATATTATAGTTGCATTGACAGCAAAAATTTAGAAAATGAAATCCAGTCAATCTCTAGAAACATCACTCTTCTCAAAAATGTTAAATTACATTTTACTGATCTGTGTTTAAAATATTAATACAAAAATACTTTAAATCTACTACATAAATAAAGTATACTTACTGGCTATTATACTAGTTGAATTATGAATAACACCTTTGGCATCAGTAAATTCTCCATACATAATACGACCTTCAACAAAGACCCTCGATCTGGTTGAACCAACAGAAAAATTCCAACATCAAATGTTTCAGTTAAAGGAAACAACAGATTAGCAACACATAAATTAAATGATGCATGATAAATTTTTCTCAATATTTGTCTGGTAACAAAATTCCAACTATTACACGAACGAAATATTTTTCTTTTGTAAAAATATTTTAAAAGACTCATCTTTAACATTTTACATATCAGTGTTCCCAAATGGGAAGATAAAGTTTAAAATTCATTTAAAAGGGAAGTTTCAGTTAAAAGGGACTGTCTTGTAATATATATATATATATAATATATAAACCTTTTTAGTATTTTTGACATTTGCATTGCATAAAAATTTTCTTAAAATAGGAAAATAAATCAATATTTAAAAATGAATGAATAACAGTATTAACAAGGTTTGTTTTAATGAAAAAAATATTAATTATAAAAATTCTGATCAAAAATTTTATTTATAACAAAGCAAATTTGCATGTTCCCAAACTGAAACATCTTTTATAGTACAAAATTCCATGATTTTTAAATTCACATTATTTTGCTGATATTGTAGAAAAATGACACTTGAAATTTCTGTTGCCACTGAATGTGAAGCTGCATGACATGGAACAGTGTCTGTTTCTTGTTTAGTCCCCATCCTTTAGAGGGGTGGGTGGCAAATGGGATGTGGTGGTGCAGCTGCATTCAACATAGACTTTGCACCGTCACTGCAGAATGTAATACAGAATATTCTGTGTCAGACATGCCATATAAAAAGCAATTTGTAATAGTCGAAGAGACTAAAGCTTATTTTGAGATTTTATCAGATGCTTCTAATAAAACATTTGCTGATATCTGTCAGTTGTCTCGAGACAAAAGCTGACGTATAAATGATGAAGTTATAAATGAGAATATTTTCAAATATCTTATGTCTACAGATATTGTTGGACGAATAAAAGTTTTCACTATTATTTAAGATGAGAAATTCATTTGACACACGGATGATCCTGGAATTCCTTCAACTTACAGCAAAAAAGCTAAAACGATTGCCTCCTAAAGAAGAAAACACTAATTATCACAGTGTGTTGCCACTGCTCGCTTTGAAATTTACTCAATTGGATAGAGTTTAAAAAATTTGAAATATATAATAAAACAAATTCGATATTCAAGATTTGGGTGGAGAAGATATCATTGCTTTTTCACAATATGAGAAACATACATACATTCATGCAGATTCTTTATTATTTAATTTCTTTAAATATAATACAGGACGATAATATTTGGTGGCAACAATCTGAAAAGTGATACAGCCATTTATAGCGATTCGACACAAAATGCTGTTTCGAGACTGATATCCCTTCTGGGCTAATAATTTTGATGGAGACATAAACGCTTGTTCCTCTTCTTGAAAAAACAAAAAATGTACCATTTGCTTTTTCATGTATGTACATTTTCACATATATGTATAGATTGTCTTAATATTATACTTTCTGACTTTGACAGCAGCCAGAGTTGAACATTCTGCCTCTCAAAAATGTGCTTCTGCAAAAGGCATCAAATCTTTTAAATCTTCATTAACTATTGTCTCTAGATACATCTGCCTCACTAAAGCCAAATCTGTGCACAGAAGATGACAGATTTCAGGGTGGAGTCAGATGAATACCAATAAGCTATTCTTTCTCGATCGTTGGAATGTTGATGAAGCCTCAAGATTTATTGCTCAATCATTCTATAAGCACTTGTCCAGTGTTTCTTAACCTTTCTAGCGAGTCGCACCCCACTGAATCTGAAAATATATGTCCGCACCCCATTGAAAAATGTGTTTTAATTTTTTTAGTCTAGAAAAATACATTTTTTTGCGAAACTTATTGTTTATTGAAAAACATTGTACATTTTATATATAAATACAAAACAATATTATTTTTATTAATGACTAGTCTGTGTTTTGTTCATTATTATACTGGCGAAGCGAGGTTCCTTTTTTGAAAGACATACGCGTAAGTCATCACTTGCATTTAAGCAATTTCTCGCTTTAGTTTTTATATGCAAAAGCGATGAAAATCCCATTTCACACAAGTAGGTGGTAGCAAAGGGTAAGAGTAATTGCAGTGCTCCGTTCATTAACTCTGGATAACGTTGTAACTGTGAACACCAGAATTGTTGCAATTCTAATTGTTCGAATTCCATTTGAACATGTTCACTTGCTCTCATTTCAATAAGATCATCTTTTTTTCAGATTACTATCAGCCATCAAATTTAAGTCAAATAGAAATGGATCCAATATCCATTTCTGAGTTTTGGTAATATTTCTGGTAGAAAAATATCCATTGAATGATTCGCTCAATCGTCTCAAATGTATTACAATGTCGGGTATAATTGTATTCTTTACATTTTTAGCAATAACAGATTCGATTGAGTCAAAAAGAATTTCTGATTCTGGAGCTGTCAAAAGATCCAAAAAGCGAAAGAATGTTTCGATATCCATCAAACAAAAAGTGGAATTGCTGCAAAAAATGGATAAAAGCATATCCTTTGTTGCTCTAACCATTCCGAAATCTGTTTATAAATTTTACGCTGCTCTGCCGGGGGGGGGGGGGGGGGGGGGCTCAATGAACTGGAAGTCGATCTGTCAGCACTATCCTTATCTGCAGGGCAGATGTTTTTATTTTTTTCAGCTTATAATTCCTTACTAAATGTAGTATTACATCTCAACGTACTCCGTCTTTGATAGGATTTAAATCAAATTCCTCGTCATTATAAATATCACGAATACACATCAAATAGTTTTCTGGTTGCAATGTTCTAATTTCGACTATGTGTAATGTATGCTTTATGCATGCGCACGTTGAAATAAATATTAAGCTTTTTTTTTTTTGTAAATTTTGATACCCTTTAGATCATAATTGTTCTTTATTTCATAAATTACGGTTTGAAATTTTTAATTTTATAATTTCTGCATGCCATCTTACCAGATTTAAACTGATGATCTATAATCCGGAAAAACCGATAACCCGGCATCGCCGAAGTTCTGACAAGTCTGGATTAAAGACTTTTGACTGTAATTATCTCTCATTATATCAGCAACAATGGCACGCAGTTTTTACTGGTTTTCGTTTTTCTAATCAAATGGTCGTAAAAGCTCAAGTTCCATCCAATATTGCACCTATATTCAATTTTAGTTGCTTAAAAGTATTTAGTTGATTTTGTAAAAAACTGATCATGATTGATCAGAAATCAGTAATGAAAATAAACACACAAACAGACACTCTTCTTTATATATATAGATTTTGTAAAAATTACAAATTCTTGATTAACAAACTTTATGATTTGAAAGCAAGCAGTAGCAATACTTTTTGAAATAAAGCATTTTTATCTCCAACAGGCCAGACTGTTGCCACTCAGAAAAATGAGTGCAAAAATTACTGCTTTCAGAGTTTTTAATTAATATCTCTGCTAATTAAAGTTTTAAGAAGATAGGAATAGTCAAAATGACTTCCGATGAATTTTTGGTATTGGGAATAATGTATTTAATGTTTGGCAATGCAATTTTTTTTCATTGTAAAACTTGGAAATTTTTTATTAACAATCTTTACAATTTGAAAGCGAGCAGTGGCAACACTTCTTGAAATACAGCAGATTTTTATCCCCAGCCTGTGAGACTATTTCCATTCGGAAAAAATTACAGTGAAAATTAGAATTTTCAGAGTTTTTAATTAATATCTCTGATTTTAGTAATTTTTCTTGAAAAAAGTGGATGTTAACCTATCCGGGGACCTAGAAAAGAATTGTAGAAAGTTTGATGATGATAGCTATAGTAGTGACTGAGTTAATCACGAGCAATAACAAAACATTGACATTCTTCATTATATATATAGATGATGTACATTTTTTATAAATAAGTCTTTTCAAATTTTATTCCCATTAAAATTCCATTACTTAATAAAAGTGATATTTTGGGGGTTGGGGATTGAAAGTAATTGAAAGAAAAATAAATAAGAATGACACCATAATTTCAGTAAGATGTAATGATATTTAATAGTGTCAGTTATAAATATGAAAATTAAAATATAAATTTTGAGATTTGTTACAAGGCATATGTTTTACTTGTGTAATATTTATAATATAATATTATAATTTACAATACAATATTTAAAATAAAAAAAAAGAAGTTAGAAAAACTTTCTCAGAAGAACCATAATAATTAACTGAACTTTGCAAAAACAAGAACTTTTTCAAATCAGACTGTCAATCGAAATTTCACAGGAATTCTAAAAATTTATTACTTTTAAAATTCAGGTTCTATATTATTTAAAAAACTGTTTTTTAGTTAAAAAATTCATGATTTATATTTCCCATAGTATTCTTTTCGTTTTTTACTGCTTTAATTTTTTTCTGTTCCTAAGACTTTTCGCTTTGAAGGTGGGCTATGTAAGATAAAAAATATGCAAAGGAAAATTCTAATTTTAATTTGCAATAGTCCCTTAACTTCACATTTTAATTTGGATATTTCCCACTTCCAATTTGCAAATAGTGTTTGCTTATAATAAATCTCTCTAAACTGCAACATTTTCACATTAATTCATGTCGTATGATTGGGACACAAGGCTAATGATGAAGATTGATTTTGGATTTGGGAACTGATACTTTTAGCATCCAATATCAAAATTTTTGTTAGGGGAAAAAAGGGAGCGGGGGAAGATAACTCAATCCTCTGAAATGAGCTTTCACCTTGAATACATTGCATTAGCTTTCCCACTTTTGTTTGCCTGCCTACTTGCCGCTACTACTCCTTTCTTCAAAAAATGTTAAATATTCTAGAACAAGCACACTTACAGCATCACTTTATCTGTGTTGATGTAGAAAAATGTTAGTCAGTAAAAAGAAAAGGAATATTAAAATTTTCCTGTGACTGTAGCCATCTTCTTTATGCTTCAACATACCATCAACATCTGTCAGCAGCATTCAAATCATTATACAAAGTTAAAATTAAAACTAAACAGGCAAATTAAAAAAAGTAAGAAAA